GAAAAAATTGATCAAAAAATTCGTACATATTAGAAATAATCCGTTAGATTCGTCAATTCTAGTGTATCCTGTACAAAGCCGCGTGACGTCTCTAACTCTGGATGCTAAGGTTATATCTATTATTTTGCCTGACGTGTAAAATCGGGCGATAAAATTGACCAGTTACCATGACTACCACGAAAGACGTCAGCATTCATACGTGCTCCACGATACTCCATAGAAATTCCAATGTAAGAAAAGCCTCAAGCTAAAAGGGTGGAGGGGGGGGGGGATAGATGACCGCTTTATTTATTTAGAAGAATTCTCTGGGCCAAATTACACACGCGGGCATAAACTATTTAATTTATACTTTATAGCTGTATACAATTTCGCAATCTCATTTAATTCGCGGAAATATGCAGCGATAGTCAAACTTGCATCGCGGAAAATTCGTCAAAATTTAATAGGCAATCGTGGCGCGATCTATTTCAGACAGATTGAAATCGCGCCGTAAACAAACATATATATATATATATATATATGTTTATGATAATTTAATGATAATGTTCACTTTAAGTAAAATCAGGTATTTAAATTTCGAGACATACAATTTCTGCTTGATATGTTTTAATCCTTAACTCTTCTTTTAGAAGAGTTAAGGATTAAATCATAAATCTCAGAATTAAAATTAATCGCGTATACAATATTAAGTTTAGAATAATCAAGAGTGTCGTAGAGACGGCGCGATTTCAATCTGTCTGGAATAGATCGCGCCACAATTGCCCATTAAATTTTGACGAATTTTCCGCGATGCAAGTTTGACTATCGCTGCATATTTAATACTTAACTCTTCTTTTATCTCAGAATTAAAATTAATATTGTATACGCGATTAATTTTAATTCTGAGATAAAAGAAGAGTTAAGGATTAAATCATATCAAGCAGAAATCGTATGTCTCAAAATTTAAATACCTGATTTTACTTAAAGTGAATATTATCATTATTTTACACGCCAATCACGAAGCCTCTTTTATTTGATTCCATTCAGATAAATCTGCGGCGAGAGATAAACCCCGCAAGAGTCCGTAGGATCGCGAGGACAGCAATGCGATCGGCTCGGCGCATTTACGCGCGTTTCTCATCACTTGTCAATCGATAACACGGAGAATTGGAGTGCCCCTGCGTGTACTTCAGTTTCTTCGTCCCCTCTTCATCGTGGAGTCCGATACTATCGAGCTCCGAGAATGGTTTGACGCGTGGTAACAGCCTTCTGTTTCAGCCGCGAGGACGATCGTAGGAGAAACAAAGGGGGAGGAAAAGCGCCGCGAGGAGAGGAGAAAATCGCATCGGCGTGGTGGCGTCGGCGATTCAACGTGTGCGTATATTCATGTACATGCACATAAGTGTGCGAAAGAGAGAGAAAGAGAAAGAGAGACGGTAGAGAAGGCGAAGGGTGAGAACGCCGGCCGGGATGGGATGGGTGGCAAATCGGTGACGGTTATTTTTAGAATATGGGTCACCCATAAACCCCAGCTTGTCCCGTGACGTCACGGGATCGTCGTCGTGGCAACAGGGACGCCGGGTCAATCACCTTCAGTTCAAAGGTAGCTCTCCCCTTAACCCCTCTTCTATCCCTCTCGTTCTCCGCGTTTCTCTCGGGCGCACCACGTTCAACCTCGCCGTCCCACCCTCCAGGGGCCCTACCTGCGACGAGAGGAATAGGTTAGAGGTTACGGCACCGGCGGTGATGCACGCATCAGGAGAACCTGCGCTGTCCCTTACCCTCTCTCTCCTTCGCCGATTGTGCGCAAGATTTAGGCTCTAATATCAGAGGTGAGCGTCAAGGAGGACGATTACGTAGGATTGATTGAGCAGCGTATCGACAGTGTGTCGAGTATATATAATTATGATCTTGATATTAAGCCATCAGATTGCAGGCTTTGCAAATTTCCGATAAGTTTGCGCAAGATGACGCGAAAAATTTATTTATACCCTGGCTGCATGTTATTTTGGAAATCACTCCTTTCGAAGGAACTGCTAAAACATCGATCTTAACATGCATATTTTACAATAAAATAGATATCTCGTGAGAGATTGGTATAGATATTATAGAATTAATATTTCTCTGCATCTTTATTTTATTGTTTCATATATACGAAAAGATTATAGTTGCAATAACCGCAATGTTGATCTATGCATGTTGATAAATCTGCAGTATATACGCAGTGCAACATGCAATTTTGTCAGACAGTCCGCATTAATACGATATAGTCTGTTGTATATACGCTACATACGATCAGCGAGGATTTTACACAAATGTGCGAAAATTTTAAATTCCTTCCGTGAGTCGTTCTCGCCATCTTCTCGATTGCGCAGTATCTACGTCGCGTGTTTTATCTACTAAAATTTCACAGGGATCTATATTATCCGCCCCCACTAAACTGTCCGATCAAGTCTCGGAATGTACCACGTGTCTGTCCGCATGCACTTGTTCTACTTGCAAATTTTTCTTCCCGTTTTAACAAGATTCCATTAATCTTTTGGATACAATCATTGCAAGCATTTATTATTTGTGTGTGTGTGTGTACAAATAAAATTTTATAATAAAAGATAAGCAAGAAATATGTTACCGATAATAGAGTTTACCGTAGATACGTTATCTGTATTAAATGTGCGACATAACATCGATATGCACCACGCGGCGAACTTTTTCTACTTGACCCTCTGTTCTCTACTATCGAGATAAAACGACATGCGTTGCTCTGCCCATTAATCCTCCTAATAATCCTCCCACTTTAAAATATATATAAAAATTATTTTAATATTTTTGAATTTAATATGTACAAACACACAGTATAACTCTCTTGTTTTTAATCATTTTCTTCATTAATTCTAATGCGAACATAGATATATCACTATAATAAATTTAATAATAATAGCGCTTCTCTCATGTGTAATATAATATTACAGACATCGTAATATAATACACATACACACACAGTCTATATAATATAATATTATTAATAATTGTAATAATAATTATTAAATATGTATAATAATAATAAGTAAATTGTACGTTGATATCATGTATCCATAAAAGCATTGGATTGCAACCATATTAATATACCAAAACATTCTGTATAATTAGCGTTATAAGAATGAGTCACGTTTGGCAGCTTTTATAGATAGGGAATGTTCACGAGTCCTTCATAGCACAATGCAACTTGTACTTTCGAGCCAAGAGTTTCATTGAAATTCGACGATGACATTACGGCGATACGATTGTGTTACGTCGTAGCGTGTCGACGTTTTCGTCACTATTATTGCGTTCAGTGCCAAACAACTGTGTTTCAGAAGGTACCGATAATATCTTAGTTTTACCTTATCAAGCTACGAACAGAACACTAATCATTTTTACAAGATTCGAGACATAAGCTACTCATTTTTCATGGTCTCAGTCTTTGCGTCTTTCTGCGCGATACCTTACGCATTTGACTTATATCGAGTATATATATGTGTAAAATATATTAACTATAAATCTTTGATGGAATATATAAGATATATAACCAAAAATAAAATAATTCATATATTGTATGTGTGCGTAGTACAAATGAAAATATATCTTATATCATGCCCCATCATGTCATATTTTTATATCAATACTAATTATATTATTCTTGAAGCTATATCTATATTTTAGGAACCGCCTATTTAAAAAAATATATAAAGAAATATATACTATCTCGTTCTCTCCTCGCGAATGCGGATAAGTTCATTAAAAATTATTTCTTTGGTTGAGAGAAAATTTTAATTTCAATACCAATAGATATCATATATCGCGCGGATCACGTATCGTTCTTTAATAACCGCGTTGTAATTATTCGAGGCGTTCGAGGGTGAGAACGAGTTCAAGACCGCTCCGTTCTCGCCTCGTAACAGACACGGTGATACCGTAAACGAAATCGGAGGGCAATCCAGCAAGGAGTCGAGCGAGCTTCTTAGCGGCGTACCAAGCGGGCTCGGCTCCGTTTTCAGTTTCCGATTATTTTTGGCAGCAAGCAAAGCGAGCAGAGCTCTCGCCTAAAAATGCTTATGGCCAATGACGTGCCGCTATTGGTCGCGCCGTGACCACGTGAACAGCCTACAGTGGAGGTTCACGAAGTCGACTAGGCTATCCACGATATTGCACAGTCAACTGCCTAAGGTCCGGTTGGCCAGTCGTAGCCAGCAAAGCTTTCTCCACAAGGTAAGCCCATCTTCCTGTGATCTTCGCGGTCTTCTCGGATGTTAGCCTCGTCGTTGTCGACTCATCGCAAAAGTGTCCTCAAAAGGTGTCGACCCTTCTGCGTTCTCCAGAAAGAGGCCTGGAGAACCTTCGGATAAAAGACAGAGAGGTATATATATGTGTAAAATATATATATATATATATATAATGTGATTTTTTATATTAACTATAAATCTTTGATGGAATATATAAGATATATAACCAAAAATAAAATAATTCATATATTGTATGTGTGCGTAGTACAAATGAAAATATATCTTATATCATGCCCCATCATGTCATATTTTTATATCAATACTAATTATATTATTCTTGAAGCTATATCTATATTTTAGGAACCGCCTATTTAAAAAAAATATATAAAGAAATATATACTATCTCGTTCTCTCCTCGCGAATGCGGATAAGTTCATTAAAAATTATTTCTTTGGTTGAGAGAAAATTTTAATTTCAATACCAATAGATATCATATATCGCGCGGATCACGTATCGTTCTTTAATAACCGCGTTGTAATTATTCGAGGCGTTCGAGGGTGAGAACGAGTTCAAGACCGCTCCGTTCTCGCCTCGTAACAGACACGGTGATACCGTAAACGAAATCGGAGGGCAATCCAGCAAGGAGTCGAGCGAGCTTCTTAGCGGCGTACCAAGCGGGCTCGGCTCCGTTTTCAGTTTCCGATTATTTTTGGCAGCAAGCAAAGCGAGCAGAGCTCTCGCCTAAAAATGCTTATGGCCAATGACGTGCCGCTATTGGTCGCGCCGTGACCACGTGAACAGCCTACAGTGGAGGTTCACGAAGTCGACTAGGCTATCCACGATATTGCACAGTCAACTGCCTAAGGTCCGGTTGGCCAGTCGTAGCCAGCAAAGCTTTCTCCACAAGGTAAGCCCATCTTCCTGTGATCTTCGCGGTCTTCTCGGATGTTAGCCTCGTCGTTGTCGACTCATCGCAAAAGTGTCCTCAAAAGGTGTCGACCCTTCTGCGTTCTCCAGAAAGAGGCCTGGAGAACCTTCGGATAAAAGACAGAGAGATAGAAGACTCGCGATCTCCTTCCCTCCAGGAAATAAGTCGTTGCTATCGAAAGGTTTTGCTGTTTGTGGAAAAGTTTCTGCATTCTATCGAGTGTCAGTGAGACGAGTGACTGTACGAAAGATACTTTTCAAGATTGTGACGGTTGATCCGCCTAAGGCTCTCGAGACAGTGACGGATCGGCGATCACCGACGAGCAATCGCTCGTCTTGAAAGTGACGCGAAGTTGAAAGTGATGAACGAGAGCTTCTTTCATTTATCGGTCTCAATCGACTATTGATCGATTATTTGGGGTATCTTAACAAAATATGTGTATATATATCGATCACATAGAAAATCTTTATTTTCTTTACTAATCTTCCTATTCCATCTTAATCTCAATCAAAAGAAATTATAGAATAGTGCCTCTATCACCAATAAATAGTATTAAAACTTGCGTCATTATTATTATTTTGCGCGATCGTCTTTTTCAATTTAAATTTTCCAACGAAAGGAATAGATTTACATTATATTCTCGCTTTAGCATAATAAAGTTTATAAAACATAGCTTCCCCCAGGCGCGGCAGATTGCCTTTTTTGCATACTTTAATGAAATTTAGCGAGTTGTCTATTTTTACGGAGCGGCTTGCCACTTTGACATCGGAGACGATACGCACGTCTCGATGTGGTAGGACGTGTCTTGGAATGGTTCGAGCGCGAGAGGAGATCTATACTTAGCGAAGGCGCGGATCGCATGTTACAAATATAAAAGGAGTCACTGCAGTATGTCGTAATAACAATTAATTAATGAAAAAATAAGAATTTAATTATTTTATCTCCATAAAATTTCATTATACCATATAATATCCCGATTTTGATAAATTTGCATATTAATTTCATTGATGACGCAAGAAAATTGTCTTGTTTATGCAATGCTTACTCGGATTCCACAGTTACACAACACTAAAGCGTATAAAGATGAAAGATAGAACATAGTAAAAAGTAAGCATTAATATTTAAAGAGATATTTTTAAGGTATTTATATTACGTAATTTATAAAAAATATTTCTGTTTCTCTCTCTCTTTCTCTCTTTATTTACTAATCTTAAATTCAAGACAATATAATTAAAGAGAAAGAGAATTATATATATAATATTTTATTCCTTTAATTAATTATTAATTTAATATTATTATATGTAACAAATAAAAGCAAAAAATAAAGAAGATATTTCCAAGTACCATTCCGCACAGTACTCTAACGAGATCTTGTTTCACGATTGTCGGGTTACAGCGTTACGCGACATTTCGCTTGTAACTACGTATATATAACGTTCCTAAGTATTTTCGGAATGTGGAATGCCACTGTAGACAAGCACAATCCATCTTCTTGGATGTTTGGAGCTTTGACAATGAGCGCGCGTCGTTGGCCGCCATGCAAGCGGCGCTAAATGCGCAATTGTTATCTCTGTAACCGAATTACACAATTTCCGTTATGTATTGCGCGCACAGAAGTTTACCTATATAAGTTATCTGTTTTGAAACTTAGTCGTTCCGCCTTGTATCTCGGCGAGTCGATATTCCGCAACCGCGGAATATATCGGCACGGCGATTTCGCGACGGAAATCCGGTTAATAGGAGGTTCTCGCGTGAGAGAGTCCTCCCCCCCCCCCTGTTGATATATCTTCCCTCAGTTATCGCATATCTTTTCAACGAAATGTCATTCGTAAATAGCGTGATCGACGTGTAGTATATCCGTCATACACATTCGAGATTCTCTCATGGCGATGTGCGCGAGACTCTGGGAGCTTTCCAGCAAGAAAACACAGACAGACATAATGTAACATAATTGACTATTAAATAGAGAATTTTTCAAGACCCTAAAATTTTTTTATTTGACAGTTAATCGTATGATATTATATTTATGCGTGTTTCTTGCTGGAAAGCTCCCTCTATCTATCCGTCCGTCTCGCCGTTTCGACATCGAATCCAGTTGAAGCCGCCGATGACGGGATATCTACCGGGTCGTTGCATCCAAATTTGGATCGCGTCGACCGTATCCCGACGTCTCGACGACGCACGACGGTGCGGAAAGTGGGGACGACCGGCGTCTATTTTCGCACACACGTCGGATATTCTACACCGTCGTATTCTATCGCGCCTCTATCTCCTCGAACGCGTTCGGCGACGAAATCTACCCACGTAGCGGCATGATTTATCGACTCCGAGAGGCACATTCCTGAGATCGATCGTATTTATCGAAAGAGACAGAGGCGCGTCACGACGATAAATTTCTTCTTCTCTGTGGTTTTCCGCTATTAATATTTCCGTCGTCGCGGATGTTCGACGGCTTTCGTTTCACGTTATTCCGTCATTATTTTCGTCCGCTCCATTTGTAAACGCCGCGCGTATTACGGAAGCGTGAAAGCGTTTACGCATATGATATAAGTGAGTATGCGTACACAAAAAAGAAAAGAGAAAAAAGAGCTTCACACATGGCTTCGCATAATGCGAAGAGCCGCGGCTGCGAGCGCGTTTATTACGCTCGCTTATGCAAGTCTCTATTTATTTTAATAATTAGAAAAGAGGGGAGGAGATTCTGATGGTACGTGCTATTAATAGCGCGTGTGTCGAGAGATTTTCATCGCATATACTAACGCTAATGAAAAATATTTGTATCGTTTTGTAATTCTTTCTTTTTTTTTTTTTTAGGTAGACGCGTGTAACAACCAACCACCACCATGGCGGACGATGAGGTTAGGTGTGTATTTTAAACTGTAAATTTTATCTCTTATCATATCGTTCTTTACATGCTTATTCATTATTGAAAAAAGCAACGAGATCGAGGGAGCCACGTCGCATGGTTTCATGAGAGAATATCGGATATTCCTTAATATTACGTTTTCCTTTTCATATTGCATCGTTTCGCTGGATTTTCGACGCTGTTGATCTTCACACTTGGATCGGAAATGCTGAAACATCACGCGCCTTTTGTGTCGAATCCGTGCAGTAAAATTAGCGTAACTATCGAAAGGTATGCATTGTTTGTGCTTTCTACGATTCTCTGTGAAAGACCATTAACATAAACTCTGTAACTTTAGTGAAGACAGTATAGAACTTGTCGATAAAAATAGAACAGTTCCACTGAACGGTTTCACTGAATGTTCTACCACAAATCCTTCGATTTACATTGTCGAAAAGTGTATTTGACAGATTTCAGTGCTTCAATCTCTAATGAAAGTTTATAATGAAGCAAATATTATATATATTATTAAGCAAATTATTTTATTATTTCTCTATAAATTAAAATTTTTCTAAACTTCTTATGTATGTTTATCGTAATGTAATGAGAAACATTTCAATATACGTGCAAAAGAGAAATCAGTTTCAAATACGCGTTTCTTCATAAATAAACCATTCTCCTACAATATTATATTTTTATAATATCAAGCTTTTATGTACAAAGCTCCGATTGTCGAGGTCTCCGAGCAGACTGAGCCTCGTTTTTTTTTTCTACTACAGTGGCATTTTCAAGTTGCTTAGTAGAAGATATAGATGGTGGTCAAGGATAAACCATGCAGTTTGTGCGTCCTGAAAAAGATTTATATGCTACGTAGAATGACGAGGCGATCATATGATAGAAGCTCGCTTCTCATCGCGATTATCCTTCCCTCGTTTCTCCTTTCGCAAGAAACTTTCCACGATTCTGTTTTCCAGCAATATCTCTTGATTCTTTCACTCTCCATCGTTATTTCATTTCTCATCTATTTTAGTTAACATTTTTATTTCTGTTAAATTCTTAAATAAACAAATTATTTTTTATAATCTTTATTTCGATGACTGTGTCATCATTTCTATATCCATTCCGTGGCCGACAATTTTTTGTTTGTGCACGGTGGGATAGTTTTCTTTCGCATAATGAAGCCAATTTGCGCGACGCGAACCGCAAATGTAAAAATTAATGAAGGCTTTTAGCTCTACACGCGGTAAGGAACATACATTTCGTACATGTCACCGTAAAATTTCCGCTCTCTAAGAACGGAAAATAGTACTGATCGACATTACGACCGACATGCTCGTTGTCTTCCGTTATATGCTCCATAGCCCGACTTTTTGTCTGATTTATCGTCACGCTCTCTCGCTTTTATTTCGGCATTATTTAACGCGATCCTTCCCGCTCGCCCCGGATCTATTCGCTTAATTTTGTCTCCTCTTTCTTGCTACTCGAGCGAGTTATTTGTCACTCACGTTTTCCTTTTATAGAGAAACAAAATTGTTCCAAATTTTCAATTGTAAATTCACGTCTAAGAATACTTGTAATCTTCTTGATTTGTCACTATCTCGTTTTTACCGTAATAATTGATATTTCACCTGATATTTTACTCGTCTTTCTAGACCATCTTTCGTTTTTCCGTTGTTTCTCCTCAGTTATATTTATAAAATGATCCATCCTTTCGTATCGCAGTTCGATTTGTTCATGATGGCACGAAGAAGGAGAAATTTTCTCTTTGAGACGCAAAAATATTTGATATTTGTCAGTGTATATCGCGAAGCAAAACTCAGCACACTCGAGTGCATTCAATGAAAAGGACGTTTACCGAAGATCGGTTAAAGAACTTCCATTTACTGATTAAAACTCTTACATGAACACACTTTTGCAGATGGTTCGTTTATTCGAAGTCACGAGTGCTGGCTTTGCAATGTCACAGGCGCAAGAAATCTCTTACTTACACTAAACTTTCTATTGATAATTACAAAGTTTTCATTGTATAATATCACTTCAAAAATGTTCAATTAATTTTAGTTTTATCATTGTTTAAACTCGTATACGGAATGCTACAAGTTTTTAACTTCAAACTTTTTTCTACGTATAAAGATCAATAATATTGAAAAATATTTTATAATTTTAATGATTTTAGAAGATATTTAAATAACTCAGAGCATTTTGCGCTATTATATTATGTACAATATATCACGCGTTAAATAATTCTCATTATTTGCTACGCCGTCATGAGTAAATCGTTCCCTCGCAAAAGTATCCATCCTCGCTTTTTTCAATTAAAGCTATAATTGAAGAACCATTATAGCCAAACATAGAACTCCAGAGAACGAGCACTATAGACAAACATAAAACAATCGAACACACCTAGGGTAAAGTAGATACCAGAGTCGCATGAGGAATGATTTCTGTTTTTTGATGTGAAACAACATTGCGCTGTGCGCATGTTCCTCTAATGCTATATTTGCCTCTAATTATAAATGTATAAGTGCAATATATCTATTGCTATTATTTAATATCACCAAATAGCTCACAGCATGCACTATGTGAGTGCCATACCCGTATCGAATGTGAATTTTGGATCAGAATTTAATATCGAAATAAATAATATAAAGATGTAAAAAAGATTTGTACTTTATTCGTATCTTGCAAATTGTAACCGTCAATTATTAATAGCGTTCGTGTAATAGCAAACGATGTCAACTGCGACAGCATTTCTTAAGCTTATTCATAGCTTATTTCTTAAGCTTATTCACATCGCGATGTTACTCAATAACATTTTTCTGGGTGTCAAGGTTTAAAGTCACGGTTACTAAAATTACGCCTATATGAATTTAGCATTCTATTTTTAATTAAATTAAATTTTTAATACAAAAAATGATAAAGTATTTTGTTTATAGTTATTTAGTAAGTAGTAACAATAATTTTGTTCATAGTCAAAACCATAAAGATGCAGCATTTAAAAAATGATTGTTACTCGATTTTATAAGATAAAAAAATCGCTGATGTATCTTGTTTCACAGAATTGTTCTGTAGTTATTTGTAGTGCTTCTCTTTTCGTTTGTAATTGAATCGTTCAAAAATTATGGTATATTTACAATTGAAGAAAAACAACGTAACTACAAATAAAAATTATTACGAATAACCTGAAATAATTCTGAATATATGAATATATAAATAATCAGAGATTTGTTTCCTAATTTTAAAGTCGAATGAAGCAGTTATTTTTTCGATATTCTATATTCTTTGCCGGCTTCGACTACAAATGGAATTATTGTTATCATAAACAACTACAAATAAAATACTATCATTGTTTGTACTAAAAACTTAATTTATTAAAAATAGAATGCCCCAAATTCACATATGTAAAAATTTCACGTGTCGTTGCTTCTATCTTATATAAATGCGGGTTGCAAATATTATTTTTATTTTCGAAATCCGCGTATTGTCGATAGCAAAAATCTGGGCAACTTATTACAGAATGCAGAGCTAATGACAGTCGAAAGCATGTGTCACATTATAAGTGGAACGCGCGGCTGTTCGCGCAAAACGATATTATACAAGATGTTCATTGGATGCGCTGTTGTAGCTCTTGACGGTGACAAAGTTATATTACTTAAGACAGACTCCATTAGCTCTCCATTCTCCATCTTTATGAAACACGCGAAAACATGTTCGCTACGCTAATGCTTTGTAAGGTATTCCTTGATGGCGAAATCTGGAACACTAGAGATGATAATCTCTTTCTCTCTCTCTTTCTCTCTCTCTTTCTCTCTCATTGCCGTTGAGAAATATCCTTTTACCCAGTCGAAAGGATCGCGTAAAAAGTGTTTCAGGTATCGCATGCATGTGACCCAGGACACAGAGCGTACTAACGAGAAATATCCTCTCTCTCTTTTACAGAGGAAGCGCATCGAGGATGTACGTAAGAGAGGAAACTAGCTATGAGAAACATAAAGTCGTCTCTTAAAGGACGGCTACTTACCAGACGGATGAAAAGAATCCTTTCGTCGGAAAAGAGCTTACGCTCGTTTTATTACAAAATGAAATATATTGCAAATGTTCTAAATTAGCGATATTAGTTTTGCAAAAATAATCAAAAATAACGCGCGCATTTGTGATTTGTTCACAGCAATATTCCTCGAAATAAGAAAAAAATATGTAACTGATATAAAATTTCATTTTTACATTGTATAATGAAATTTTGAGATTAGTAATAATTAGACATATAATCAATAGCCCCCTCTGACAATATTTTAATAATTAAATATTTTTTTATTAAATTAGAAAAATTGATATCATAGTAATTATCGTAAATTTTGAAATTGCAACCGTTTCAATTTAAGATTCGCGAAAGTTTAGTTTGAAAACCGAGAGGAATGAGAGTGTGAAAAATATTAGATGAGTTAGAGTCGCGGAATATTTTTCAAATTCGCATTGCACCTCCGAGATGCTTCGGGGCTTTCTTAGATGAGATGTTTTAAGGTAGTTTCGCACGAAAAATGCAGGAAAAGAAGAGGAAACAGGCGGAGACCGAGAGGAAGAGGGCGGAGGTCCGCGCCCGCCTCGAAGAGGCTTCCAAAGCCAAGAAGGCGAAAAAGGGTTTCATGACCCCCGACAGGAAGAAGAAGCTTAGGGTAAGTCCACCAACTGTTTTTTGCTACTTCCTTTACGAATTTCGTCGCACGGCGAAGTGAGTTCTAAAACTCGCGGAATATCTTATCTCTTTAAAACTCGCGTTCACGATATGTCGACGCAAATCTCTTTCATCATATTTCATTTCTTCAAACGAACCGCCACTCTCGGTGTTAATTTAACGTCGTGTTGGAGATTTTTCAAAAGTACGTTTTAAATTACATCAATATCCTCGGTAATATCGATTGCTCATTATCGATAACCACCAAGTCGAGCTTCCCATTTCCGATTTTATCTCATTGCTTCATCGCATGCCATAATCTTCTTCCACGTTGTTCGAGCTGCCGCGTAATACCGCGGATAATCCTCTTTGGCTCTCTCGTGCCGATTCTCTCGCGAAATATTTTTCGTAACGGGAACCGCACATACATCCGTTTCTCCATTTACTCTTTCTCCCATTCTCCTTTTCCCCTATTCGTCCCCTTCGTCTTCTCAATGCTCTGTTTTCCAACTGCCGGCCGCACCGGCGCATAGTTCGAGACTTTCCAAACTTTATCCTTGTGCCTTTTTACCTTTACTTTATGAGCACGTCTTACATTCGCCATTCTGTTTCTATCGTCGCGCAACATCCTCCAGAACATTCATGCGTCTCTCTTCCTCGATCCCCCTTCTCTCTTCCCTTGCGCAGTGTCGCGAACATTCGCATTCGCGGCACATAAAGTTTTCCGTGTGTATGCAGATTACCTCTTGGAGAATCTTTTCGCGTTTGCCGGTGCAGGAATGTTATTTCCCCGCAAATCTACCATTCTCCCTTCCTTCCTTCCTTCCGCTATGTCAATATTTGCGATCCACCGAATTTCAACCGACGTTATCTCGTTCGCTGACCAAAGAGAAATGATGTTAACCGCAAGCTTCAATTATTTCGCGAGTAAAATATAAATGGAGATGTTTCTCATGAGCCGAACATCGTAGCCGTATTATCTAATAACAAGAATTAATTCATGTTCATTTTATCTTTCTGTTATTACATGATTACATACGTATTTACGGATACAAGAATTAATTACTCGTATAACGTCGCGTTGATATCCATTTGTTTTAATAACTGTTTTAATATACGATTAACCGATTTGTATAATTGAACAATTTTATATTTATTATAGATCAGAGGCAAGCATTATAATCCGTTTCTCATTGCGTACACAATTTAAATTATTTATATAATTTATAGCAGGCTATCAATATATCCCGAAGTTTAAATTCGCATTTCCATTTAAATTATGTCAATTTCATGCCATTAGGAACTGATTCGTACGGTGAAATATTCTGCGTAAATATTCCTGACTAAATATTCCTAACAAAACTTTCCTCGTCTGCTTACGAAATGTTTTCCCTTCCTACCAAACTGAATCTTACGAATGTTCCATATGTCTATAGTTGCTGTTGCGTAAGAAAGCCGCCGAGGAATTGAAGAAGGAACAGGAAAGAAAAGCAGCCGAGAGGAGGCGCATAATCGAGGAACGCTGCGGAAAGCCGAAGAACGTTGACGATGCCAACGAAGGTACTTTGCTTCGTTACAAAATCTTACGGGAAATCGCCGAATCGCGTTTATGCTTCTTATATTTGGACCAAGTATTTTCTCTCATCCACGTAATTCTTTGAGCAAAATTACAAATTTACCGCATCTCTATTATTAATTTTGGTTAATCAAAAATTATTCTACAGAAGCAATGCGTTCGAAAAGTTGATAGAATATCAACTTGAATGAATTTACACAAAATATTTCGAATAACTTTTAGTAATTCGAGTTTTTAAAATTTTTTATTTGTGTAATAGAGAGAGTCTTTAATGAGACGAAATTGCATTTATTTAGAGAATAAGAATTTTTTTTTGTTAAATTGTGTAGTAATTGATAATAGTACGCAGTATTTATCTACAATTTTTCATAGGCCGGAATTTTGTTAATGTCATTATATCGCGAACTTCATCAATTTCTTTACAGATCGTCGTTTATCTTCAATTTTCTTTTTGAAGATATAAAAAGAGCTCGTTGAAAAGGCACGGTAAATGATTCGCGATTTTCAAGAATAGCTCTCTCTTGTATTGCAATTTAAGGTATTTTCTATCTTAAAACAATTTTCAATCTCTTAAGAAAGAGAAACACGATAGAGCACGATACTCAAAATGCATCTCGGATAATCTGAACGTACGAATAACGCGAATATCCCCGACACGCGCGTCTTTATTTTTGCATTTTTACATATTTATTTGTTCTGATGAACCACATACAGAGACCATAAAGCGCGTGCTGCGCGAGTACCACAATAGGATCACGGCATTGGAGGATAAAAAATTTGACATCGAATATATTGTTAAGAAGAAGGATTTCGAGGTACTTTTGAGAGAGCAACAGCTGCGAGAACGTTTACGCGAGAACGATAACGCGACGCTCGCGATACAGTTAACGATGCTCAATGTTGCACTTGTGTAACACAGCGATCTTGGTTCAGTTGCATATTTGCGTAGAGCGACGACGAACGTAATTAGAACTTTGGCAGAGAGACGTACTTGGCAGATTGCACCATTTTACATATCGGTTGTATTTAGCAATCGACAACAAATGCTCGATAAAAATAGCGATCTCTAAATAACCGTATAAATAAAATAACGAAAGAAATAGCGCGACAAATAATTAAATTCAAGAAATAATACGATCAAAAAATGTTCTAATTTTATTGTAACACTTGTAATATCGGCTACTTTCATTTTTAATTTTCGTCGAGAGAGTATGCTCGATAAAAATAGCGATCTCTAAATAACCGTATAAATAAAATAACGAAAGAAATAGCGCGACAAATAATTAAATTCAAGAAATAATACGATCAAAAAATGTTCTAGTTTTATTGTAACACTTGTAATATCGGCTACTTTTATTTTTAATTTTTGTCGAGAGAGTTTACGATTTCGACTCGTCGCATCGCTATTTTTATCAACCGAGCCGATGAATAATCATTATCGGGCAACTTCGTGAATGATTAATAGCTCTTTGCTTAAACTTGAATCGTTCGTCGTAGCTTCCATTTTGCAGCCGAGCAAAGAACACGAGCTTCGCATTATTTCGTCGCACCGTTTCCCATTCTCACACTTTTCTTTTCTCTTTTTTGTTTTATATCTACGTAACGCACACAACACTGTCGTCGATTTATATTACCATCTTGATTCTTATATCGCACCTTGTTTTTTTCGCATTAGTGTGCGCGCGATTTCTCTCACTGTTTTCTATTTCTCTGCTCTCTTCGTTTAATCCTATCACGAATCTCTGGCGAACTTAACGATGATCTAAGAATTATAGATTTATCCGCATCTTGATTATATTGTGTTAATACGGCTTGTTACTACTCACTTTATTCTCGCACGAAACACGTCAAAATAACAGAATAACATCACTTTTGGAATATGTTAGGCGTTGGATTACGATCAATTATTATACACTGCTTCACAATATGCACTATATAGTTTCTTTATTGATTTTTATCATTTAAAATACGTGCCGTTTGAAACACGCTTTTTTCGTTTTTGTGAAGTATTGTATAAACATTTCTTACTACGGCATTATTTTTTTATCTATGAACGAATATCTATATAATGTAAATTCAAGATTGTTTCAAATTTCGCAATGACATCTCGAAAGGTGGTTTAAGAGCGCGCTTTCATCGCTGGAAACTTGAGACAGTCTTCACGTCACTGCAGGACAACAGTACTTTATAACATCTTGATTTAGCTTTCACACCAATTTCATCCCCGACTCGTTCCCGCCCTCATACTTTATCCATCGCTCGTTCAAGTCATCTGCGCGAAATAGATTTCGTACTCGTCGCGTTCGCGAAGTTACAATATATCTTACAATATACCTTTACGACATGAGGCTGTTATAACACGTAACGATATACACGACGTCTATGATGTGAGAGGTAAATGGATTAATTCGCGATACACAATGGACATTTAGAAGCCTTTTAAACGGCATCTGTACGAGAACATTTTTTCAAGAAGTGACTTGAATTTTAACAGCTAGCGTGAAGTCCATTCTGAACCAGTATCATAAGAGGATCAACCTTCTCGAGGGGGAGAAGTACGACCTTGAATACGAAGTCGCCAAGAAGGATATGGAGGTCGAAAAAGTTTTTTTTCGTGACAAACAAAGAGATGAGCGCGACGCTGCGATTAACGCCATACAAATACTCTTTCCTGTCTTTGGTTCTTTTTTTTTTTTCTTTGTCACACTGCGCGAAGCACATCTCGCTGTATCTAGCGACTGTTCCAATTTGCACAAGCTGTTTCGTAATAATAATTAAGCGTAGATATCGAAAGGCTGAGTATTTTCTTAGAAGCACAGCAGCTCTAACGTATAGCATCCCTCGCGACTCGTAGAATCGCTCAACGTAGAACTATCTCAGTAATGTTATTTTATTGCAGGTGTATGTGCGAGTAGACATAATTTTGTTCATTTACTTGCGAGTAGGCATCACCAGACCAGACCTTTCAACGTCCTCTACGTATCTACGTATCTCTCACCCCTCTCACGATTTCCTTCCATCGAATTTCCCCCATTTCCCACTTGCCTCCCATGTCGGGTTAACGATCACGCGATTGTCAGCTTCGTGCTTCTCGCTTCCAACGCGAAAGACTCATTTCATTTCTATTTCCTCCATGATAATTTCATTTCCTCACGAATAATCCTTCGTAGCGAAAATGTAAGTCATTACAGAAAATCGCAGATCGTCAATTATATACATCATTTTTTATCACGTCATTAAACATCCAAGTTTATCTGCAAGAGATATTACGAAGCAATTTATTAATATTGATATGCTAAAAATAATAACAAATTATATAGATTAAATATTATATAAAAGTTATTATTATTATCATATCAACATCAATGAATTGGATAATAATTTTAAATATCTATTATATACAAAATATATATAATATTAAAAATAAGAAAAAAAAATTTTTTTTTTTCTTATTTTTAAAACTATATATAATTTCAATATTTGATATAATTCGATCGCGAATTAATTTTTAAAACAATCGACAGAGAATAGGGACGACGAAACATACTCAGCAGACTCCAATTTGCCCCTTTTCCATTAACTTTTTGTTCTTTTAGCCGAGTTGCAGACGATCTGTTCGGCATATTGGAACAGACTATACTCACTCGAGGGCGATAAGTATGACCTCGAGAGGCAAATTAGGTTGAAACAGTTCGAGGTAATTACGATCGGCTTGCCTAAAAAAGAGAAAGCCTATCGAATCACTTGCATATATTATTTTTGTCAAACTTTTACTCCCTCTCCCCGCCCCCCTTTCTCCCGTTCTCTTTATTCACGTGATTTTTTAACTCTGCCACGTGCTTGACCGAGCGACACCCTTGGTCGAACGGTTCTCGAACGAGTTTCTAGTTGACGGGTCTTTGAACCTTCGGTTCGAGCACGTTTGCACGTCTCTTAGATAGGGAAATGCCGCGAGACACTAATGTTCCAAACTCTCTATGAGACTTTGAGGACAGTTTGCCGGAACGTAACCAACATTAACTTATCCGCATTGCCGCAACGGATCGTAACGTCAACGAGCCTTTTGTTTCTATTTTTATTTGCACCGTCCGTCGTCCCCATTGAAGTTAGATACACGAATACTTTGTAAGAGAACTCGTGCGGTATCGCTTGTCCGCGATCGTGATGATTTTGTGCACTTCTCCCATTCATGCGGCGCTTCCAATCACGTTTGGGATAGCCCGGGACGTGCGAATCGTGGAAGATCGAAGTTTCGAAGGCGGCGACGCCGTACACCCTCGCGATACTACAACCGTAAGGTCGACGACAGGGCGATTTTCATGAAAAGGAGAGATTTCGGAGCGGCGAAATCACGTCTGAGCTAGGGAAAACTCTGACTTTCTCGACGCGCGATTAGGTATTCGAGAGCCGCGCAACTTTTATTATCGCGCACGTGGAGCGAGAGAGGGACCGCCAATTTACTCGGATCGGAGATTTCGGAAGTTTTGCTTATTGCGGGATCGTGGGCTGTCTCATTGAAATTCCAGCATCGCGTCCGTGTACTATTAGTATTCGAGCCACGCGGTTTATATTCCCCGTTAAAATATGTAAAGCTGACTTCCGTTAGTTGCTGTACATACAAAATAAAAAGAATTATCCCGATACCCTTCGTGTAATGTTTACTTATTCAGAAACAATAATGTAATTGTTTCGCGTATTGTAGATTTTAATTATAGATATCCGACGATTTTCCAAAAATAAATTTGTGTGTGCAGCTATTTGTTAAATTTTATATATTTGTTATATATTTTGTAAAACTTTACGCGTTTCAAAAATCAAGTCTTGTACGTGCCGTTAAATTCAATTTAAGAGTTAAACGTGATTATTTCGACGATCTTTACTTTTCGGGACGATTCATACAACCGCCGTTACATGTCGCGCGTGATCGATCACACGCGAGAGGTGTCTGTCTCTCACTCCGCTTGTGCCCCACTACCTAAGCTGTCAGAAAAGCAAACATATCGAAGAACCAAAGATTTCTGAGAGACTCTCCGTATTCTTTGTAGTGGAGTTGCAGAAGATTTGCCAAATGTATCACGACCGCGTCTACCTTTGTGAGGGTCAGAAGTGGGATTTGGAGCGTGAAGTTCGGAAAAGGGACTACGAGGTACAGGAAAAGTGAAAAGCACTGCGACAACGGCGAACAATGCGAGGAGAAAAAGAGCAACCGTCAGATCGCACGTCTTTTTTTATCATTTCCCCGCCGACTCACGCGTATCGGACAATATAAGGGCACCAAGCCTTTCCCCCCGTCCCCGTCTCTCTCTTCGCGTTGTTTCTCCGCTCATCCCCCTTTCTGTATATACGTTTCTCTTTCGATTTGTTGTTCTCTCTTTCACGATGTTTTTCTTGGAGAAAAACTTGCGGCGCGAACGCAGATTTGCTCCGGGTCGCAAACCAATGGAAAAAGTTCCCATAATGAAACAGCAACGCACGTACGAGAGAATCTTTGACGATGACAACATTTTGCCATCCTGTGGATCTTTGTAATCTTGATCAGTCCTGCCTCGATAATCTAAACGACGATCTACAATGATATATTTGTTTTTTTTTTTTTTTTTTCTATTGCGATCCTTTTGCGACACGTGCAACAGAACAACCGCGAATAACAACGAAAAGAATTTCTCTTTTTTCTCGTGGATATGAAGTGCCGCAACGGAAAACATTTTTTTCGCCGATCACATATTTTTACCCTATTTTTCTTTCGCTCTCTCTTTTTTTCATCGCGTAACGTGCCGTGAATTTATTTATATAGAGCATTTCATTTTTCTATCGTCTATTATCACTGTCTGGCTAAATGCACACTGTATCGACTCGCTCTCTCTTTCTCTCTCTCTCTCTCTCTCTTATAACGTGTCTTGTCACAAGTTTATACTGTCTTTCTATTATCTAACCATAACGCAACTATATCTCTCTGAGCTTTCTACTAACTCGCCAACGAAAATAAAAAAGAAGCTTTATTCTCGAGTCAGGGCTGGGCAAGCTTATAGAGAAGACGCCGATTTTGTTATATACTCTCCTTTACATACTTTCTCGAGTTTGTAGCATAATCGTCCACATATAGATTCACGCAATTGATGATCACAGATTGAGATCGTAAACGTTGCGTTTCGCGCACCGAGAAAAATGATCGTGAAACGAGAAGGGCGCACAATTTCGCAGTGATAGATTTGTTGCCAAAAAAAGTACGCAATCTCGAAGAAAACATATTACCAACGGGGTTCATCGAGAAAAAATCCTCCTTACAATTAGTCTCACGCGAGACTAAACTGACACTGTGTGCCTGAGACTATGCGCGCGTGTGTGTGTGCGCGTGCGTGCGTACGTGCGTAGATGTGCGGTGCAAAATCAGAAAGAAAAATGGAAGAAAAAAAAACAATAGTAGAATAAAACAAAACGCAAATTGTTGTGATTTTTACGGTGTCTTCCGCTTATCTTTTTTCTTTCGTTTCTTATGCTTCATGTGTCTCTCCTTTTTTTTACACATACAGTTTCTCTCTCTCTCTCTCTTTTTTACTTACTCTGCCCCGTTATCTCTTTAACACTCTGCATATAGCACGAATATGTGTTATTTCTACCAAATACAAATAAATTTGCTTTACCACGCATGCATGGCTTTTCTAACTAATAAACTGTTTAAGATATGCGATATATATGTGCAGAATGGACGCTGGTTAATTAGCGCTTGGATACGGTAACAGGACTGATGAACCGGATGAATACCTTCATTATCGTATTGATTAATTTTGTGTAATTGAGAACTTGATCGATCACTACCCGATATTTCGGAGCTTTACGTGATTAACGATAGATTCGTATTCTGCTGAAATATCCATTGCCGGAATCATGTATCATGCCACGTAAATTAATCGTTGTCTCTCAAGCAGTCTCTCTCTCTCTCTCTCTCTCTCTCTCTCTCTTGTTTTGTAATATTCAGAGACTGAATGCATAATTAGATAATATTTACGTTAATTGATATAGTAAATTAATGCAGTAAATTAACACAAAATATTCTTTTTTCTTAACTTTTATATCTTCAACATTTCTGTAAATCAGATTTATTCCAGAATTTTTTACAGAATTATTTTTAAATGCAAATTAATTTAAATTGTGTCGGCTTTAAAGAGAAGGGTAAATATACATACAAGGTCACATCTCTAAGGGGGAGTGTTTTAAGTAATTCCCCGCAAGAATCAAGTGGCGGACGGCATTGGTTTAGGAAATATAACAAATTGAAGTTTCACAGTTTTAATGCTTCTTCTCAGATATTATAAAGTAACATTAGAAAAAATGAAGTTTGTGTACGTTGTATTTGTTGTAGAGTAGACATGGAAAAAGGGTTTGTTTACATTTACGGGATAGGTACATGGTCATAGATATTTTGTCAATAACCGGTTTCATTTATTTCTCGCAGTTCGTTAACAGCTTTTAACATGTGACTATATGAATTTCTAAGTCTTGTTTTGAAAAATATTATTTATTGAATGCGTGGGCGGGGAAGGGTCGGAGCCCTTCTCTCTGCACCCCCATCCCGAAAAAATTCTAACCTAACCCAACTCAACTTTACTTTTAAAATTGAAAATAGATTTGAGTTAGGTTAGAATTTTTTCTGGGTAGGGGTGCAGGGAGAGGGGTGGAACCTCTACCCCCCCCCCTCCCCGCATAAATGATGTAAACAGCCTTTTTCAATCAAAAAATAACAGATTATTACAACATACATAAACTTTAATGTCAAACTTCAATTTGTTATATTTCCAAAACCAATGCCGTCCGCCACTTGATTCTTGCGGAGAATTACTCAGAACACTTTCCCCTGCAACAAATCTAAATGGCGATTAAATCGGTGAGGTGTGGTTTACCAAGAGAAGAAATATACTCATAACTTGTCAATTGGAGTATCAATTTAATATCGGTGCAGAATAGCTTAAGTGGATTTTCAGATTAAAAATGTATGATAATAGTAATTTATGAAAATAAAGGGATTTAGAGATTGCAGCCGAATTAACAATATATATACAGGGTGGCCCACGTAAAGTGTTACAAGCTAATAACTATAGAAATATTTGTCAAATCACAAAATTGTTCATGAGAAAGTTTCATGTTTTCGAGGGACCTTTCTAACTACGTAAACATAAAATTGCTCCCGCTCCCCCTCTAAAGGGGGCGGGGGGCAACTTTAAAATTTTAAATGGAAACCCCCATTTTTTATTGCACATTCTTGTAGCTTATCTCGAGAGCTTTTCAAAACACTATAATGAAGTATTTTTTTATTGGTTTTTTTTTACACTAATTGATTTGTCTCATTATTCTGTACTTAAAAGTATGACGGTAAGGTTATCGAAAACTAAATATTTTACGAGATATTTTATTTTTTATATCAAAATATGTCAGATTAAGATATAAAATAACTCAAAAAGTACTTAATGAAAAAATACTTTATTATAGTGTTTTGGAAAGGTCTCGAGATAAGCTACAAGAATGTGCAATAAAAAATAAAGGGTTCCATTTAAAATTTTAAAGTTACCCCCCGCCCCTTTTAGAGGAGGAACGGGGGCAATTTTATGTTTACGTAGTTAGAAAGACCCCTCAAAAACATGAAACTTTCTCATGAACAATTTTTTGTTTTGACAAATATTTTTAGAGTTATTAGTTTGTAACACTTTACGTGGGCCACCCTGTATATAAAATAAGCGCTTATATAATTGCTCTAACTTTTCTATTAATTTCTTTCTAATTAAATACAATTAGAATCGATAAACTTTATTTGCAATCGACACCATAAATCAATCGAGTGAATGGAATTTAATTTACGTTTATTACAATTAGCATCACGTTGATACTTCTCCAGCAGCACAATAAGAAGTATGGCACTTCATATTCGTCGCGAAGAAAGAAAAACAAGCAATTTCATACAAATTGCACGTATTTTTATTTTACAATTCTTAACGTTTAAACAATTGTGCGGATTTTCATAACCGTGATATATAGAACGCGATTTTTATCATTAATGTAGTATTGAGAAAAATATATATATATCGCGCGTCCAAAGTACGTCATAGATTATTTAAACTCCTTCGTAAAAACATAATCGTTTTGCGATACTCACAAGATCGCATCGAGAAAAGCATTAGCTGACGGTGGATACATACATAGATACTCGGCAAATCATTTTCTTCAAAAAACGATTATCGTATACCTCTATAGATGCCCCGAAAGTTGGTTGTTTATCTCTTCCTATCACGGTTTTCTTTTCTTCTCCATTCTTAACTCTCACAAAGGTGGACTGGCTCGAAAACGGATTAAAAGATCACGAGACCGAAGTGCCATGCTGTGAAAATCTTCAGGCCGCAAAACTTTCCTCTTGTCTTTTTTTTTCCTTATTGTTCGATTAATCGAATCCAGCCCTCGCCCATTCGATTGATCTTTGTGAGGTGGATAGTAAATGTGTATTACAAAATTTCCGACTCATGAGAGAGACGTTGGAGTGAAACACGTACAGGCGTCTACGATGTCTTTAAAGCGAAGCGAAATTGATTTTGCACCGACTCGCACGCACTGCCGACTGTCAGTGTCCTCTTGCCATGGTGTTCAATTAGGCTGTAAATAGCGGATTCGTCTTGGCAGAACTCTGTTCTCCTTTCGCGACAAGATTCTCGAAAGAAAATTATGTTTCTTTTATTATTTTTGATAAAACTTTGCTATAAATCTACAATCAATTTTGCCAAATTTTGAATTATTCTCCGTTTAAATATATTTACGCAATGCACCGTGAGATTTGCTAGCAATAACTATTCTACATTTTAAATGGTTTCCATGTGTTTACTTCGTTGCTTCGAAAATGAATGTTATTATTATTATGAGATAATTGAAGCGTATTACACCAAAAGCGTATCGTTAGCAAACATAAAATAGCCAATGAAACCGACCAAGTATTGATTTCAAGAGATAGTTTCACGCTTCGAGTGAGAGGAACAGAGCTCTGGCAGTCTAGAAAACGGATTGTAGTGGATTTTGTAATTTTTTTCTCATCATCCACGGCGGACGAAACGGCTGATCGTGACCAGCCGGTCCCCTGATTGGCCAAAATGAAATTCACACCCCATCGTATCCAATCTCTCACTTCTCTTTCTCTCTCTTTCTCTCTTTTGTCGTTCCCTTTCTTGTATAACTTGCACGAGGAAAAAAAAAAAAAAAAAAAAAAAAAAAAAAAAAAAAAAAAAATAGTCAAACGATTCTTAAGATGAAAGGGAGAGAATCCGACAAGCAGCTTTAGAATAAAACTTTGTTCCTGAGAAAGCTGTTCCAGAAAAGTAGAATAATCAATATTATTTGTAAGAGCGGTAAAAGTGTTTTCAGAAACGAAGATTTTATACGATGGCGACTACGGTGATACGAGTCAACTGGAAATTGCATTTAGATTTAATCTGTTCCGGGATTCTGCATATGTAATGCAACAAATCCGACGATTTCTCTATGTCTTGCATGAGTTTCTGCGACGGATTCTACAGATATTCACCCAATCCTGTGGAACTGTTTCCACAGGATATTGTAACAGGTCAATATATTATATGTTTAAAAATGAAACCTTTATGACTATAATAGTCTACGAAACTTTTTACTATCGCTATAAAATCGCAATTTCATAAATATCGTGTATTCTTTTGTTTTGTTTTTTCTTTTTGCCGCGAAGCCGAATAAAGTGATTAGCCGCAATATTTCAATCGCAATAATTCTAACTAAAACGTGATAAAAAGTTATTTCATCGTACAATTATTTTATTTGCAAATAGCATGTAAATTCTCGTCGGTAATACAATTCTGCTAATATAATTCTGCTTTTTACTTTTCGATTAAATTGTTCTTGCAATACATGTCGTATCATGAGAGTAAACACTCCTCCTCCCCCTCAATAGTTGTCTTGTTATTGTTTTCTCTACGCGGTTCCCGGTTCTCTTCTCTCCCATTTTTCCGTTATCATTCGTCCATCTCTCATTGCGGAATCCGCTCCTCTATTACCGAACCATTGCCATCATCCGCTATTGTAGTTAATCCGCAAGCCAATTTACTGTCAATCTCGATTCGTCGAGTGGCTCGCTAGCTGAATATCTGCTCGCTTGCGGCTCAACGTGTGTAAATTCCCTTGTCTCTTTCTCTCTTGCCTGCTTTTGCCACGCAGGACGCATGCCAATACGATTTGATTTGCTCATCTGTTGGTTTTTTTTCGATTAACCGTTTGTGGCTGGATTATCATGTCGTTCACATGAATCCACTAATCCGCGTTTTTCTCTACAATGCTTTTTTTACCATTTACACGAATCGTTATTGTACAACTTTCTTCCTGTTTCGGAGAAAAACTTTCCTATGGTAAATTTAAAAGTTTAGATACCTTGAGTATTTTTCATTTGTTGTATATAGAGTATATTTGTGAACACGAATACTATCGCATTGCAAATAGATATCACCTCGCGTAGATATTCGAAATAGTTAACTCTCTTCCTTTATATATTGTATGTTAAAAAAATAGATTACTAAATACGCATGAATAAATTATATCGCAATGTCGAATATAATAGAGATGTTAATAAAAGTATTCGATACGTGCAGATCTCGGACTTGAACAGCCAGGTCAACGATCTCCGAGGTAAATTGTAAGTAACCCCTCTTTTTTATACTGCATTCAATAAAAAATAAGAGTTATTTTATCAATACATTTTCTTGCTAAAATTATTGAGACTCGTGAATATATTTTATTGTATAACTTTTTATTGATTTCTACATTTCACTATAGCATGAAACCGACCCTGAAGAAGGTGTCTAAGTACGAGAACAAGTTCGCCAAGCTCCAGAAGAAAGCCGCTGAATTTAATTTCCGTAATCAACTGAAGCAAGTCAAGAAGAAGGAATTCACCTTGGAGGAAGAAGACAAGGAGGTAAGGACAACCGTTTTCAATAGAATTTTCGCGTCTAGGAGACGCGAATATTTTTTTGCTAAATTGTTTTTTCCCTGCCCGTCAAAGATGTATTCCAAGCGTTCTATAAATTTATCAACAAAAATTATGTACACAGAGGTACAAGCTGGAATTTTCTTTTTGCACTTATATATATATTTTGAAATATACGCTTCAATTTTTATCTTGAATTCGTTTATTTGTATATTTATTGTGTTCGTACATCTTGTATTTCTGCGGATTTAATTTTAATTGATAAATTCACATCGACGTTTTTGAATTTTGCAAGAGACGCTACTTTTTACAGCCGTACGACGGGTAGGCGTGTAGTATAACAGGTGTTTTAAATAAACAAAACGTTTTTAAAAAAAAACAGTTTTTGTGACCCTGGTTTTCTTTTTGTGTATAAAACCCAATTGGCAGGTTCTCTTCGTATTAGTAATTTTTTGTTTATTGTCCAATTTAGGAGATCCGCATTATACATGCTCTTGTTTGCATTTCGATATTATTGCCGTAAAACATTTATCATGATATATTTTCCCGGAGCATTATTTTATATCGATTAATTTGAAAGCTAAATTTCCCGAAAATCTCGGGCAATGGATACATAATCGCACGGTAATTAATCGGTTCATCGAACCGCGATACTTTCCATTGAATATATGAGCGAGTTGTCATTTCAAAGCCGTCAAATTTATGCGAATTAATTAACCACAAAATGTATGATCATGATAATCGATGACTGCAATAGTTCAAACGAAAAAAAAAAAAAAAAGAAAGACTGAAACATAGACGAGTATTTTTCTCGTCATGCAAACGTGATCTCCTCAAAAGGACCAATCTGTAAATCCTTTCTCGTATATGTATAGTAGTGGTAGTGGTAGTTGACTAGGCAATTTGTGTTGTTCTTCACAGCCCAAGAAGTCCGAGAAGGCAGAGTGGCAGACCAAGAAGTAGATTTAATATAAGAAAGTAAACCAGTTTGAGTGCGAAATCTCAATAAAGCGCAGATTGTTATTACGAAACAAAAGAAAAAAGAATTGAACAAAACAAACGAAAAAATTAAACTTCTTCACACATACACACATTCATGCACACATACAAGAAGACACTAACACGATCGCGTTTTTACAATTGACTTGACACGCGCGCGCGCGAAAATAATCGCACAGGAGAAAAGAGAAAAAAAAAAAATACGCGTAAAACACTTTTGATACCGTTTCTATCGACGTCTCGCGTGTTCACCAGCGCGTTTTCGTCATCACGTTCGTTTGAATTGTTGGCAAACTAGTTCGTTAGCGCCGCGGAACAAATTAACGAGTGAGGACTGAAAATTGCACGAACAATCCTAGGAGTTATAGTCGATATTTGATTATATTCCTCGTCCGGACTAGACGGTCAAAACGAGCGATGTAGCTGAGAGATTCTGCGTCAATATACATATATTCACGTACAATTATTATATATAAATCAAAACAATGAGTTATATGACAATAAACGATCCAAGAAAGCGCATGTGAATAAGTCAGATGTTTTCCTCGTATGTCCGATTCTTTCGTCACGACATGTTTTATCGATAAATTTTTCTTCTCTCTCTCTCTCTCGTTTTCTATATTTTTTCCTTATTTTTACGGTTTATTTTCTTTCCATCTGTGGAATTTCTCACTGCGACAGATCGTTCTTGATTTTTATTTTCCCTTTCTTTTGTCTTTGCATTCATTGGATGTGAAACTCGATAACTCAAACTGACCTAATTCCCGATTCTTTTCGTTCTACGTAATGGAAATGCGATGCTGCATATGAGAATGTTAACGCGATCATAGCATTTTTTGCGATACATACATATATATATTATACAAAATCAGATACGATTTTCGCTCCGGCGTGCTCGTATTTTCTTTTCGCGTGATAAGAGAAATTCTTTTACGACGATGTTACGCGAGCGCGTATTTTAAATATTCGATAAGGAAAAAGGTCAGGGGTTATCGAGAATCGTACCATTTCTTTCTCTCTCTCTCTCTCTCTCTCTCTCTTTTTCTCCTCTCGTAAAACTTCACTAATTCGCCTTTCTTTGAAACATCGTTTAATTTCCTTTATCTCGCTCTTTTCCTCCGACATATCGCGGCGATTACTGTCTAATTTGTTTTTGGTATTCTTTTTTTAATCTTCGTGTTTTTGTAATCTTTCCGTCTACTTCTATCTATATAATTACGTAAAAATCTTGGCGATAGCGTAACCCAGCACAAAATAGATAAAATATGAGGTTAAGAGGGTCGTGCAAAAAAGGTGAGAATGGCTTGTGAAGTATATTTGAAGCTGACAGTTCTTCACTTTTATTTCGTACATAATGGCAGAAGCGCTTTACTCACACATACATGCCTGGCCACATACATTCGCGTTTTTCTACTCTTTACCATCTAATTGTACTGTTGCCTTCCGTTTTTCCGCACACTCGCCTCGTTTATCTTCTGTTCACACGTGTTAATTGCCGCGCACTTTCTCACGCAAAATCGTTCGTCCGGCAAATTGCTATGCAAAAACGTTAGAGAAAAAGTAAATAGAAAGAGAAATACCAGCTCGCCTGAAAAAGAAAGAAATTGAAACACGCACTCTCTGAAAATAAAGTTTCGTTTGATTACGCAATTGAAGCTCTTTCGCAGCTTGCCTTATCGCCGTCATTCGGCTGCCATGCTTCCAGGCTGTAAATGTGTAGAAATTGTTGTTCCATCTTTGTTTGTTCACAATCGTGCACGCATTTTGACATATTAAAAAAAAAATCTCTTCCATTATATTTTCCGAATAAATAAATAATTTAAAAATGTTTTTACAACAATCAATATGCGTGTGTCGATTACGATGTCGATCATGGTTTACGATGTAAGCCAGGAACGATGCGTTATTTATTAAACAATATTTAAATATAATATGTACATTAAATCCTTAATCAATGTCCATGTCTTATCCGTTGACTAATAATGTTGCTCTTGCATTATGTTCGCAGAACGCGTCAAAAGATAAGGTAAAACTTTAACAGCCAACTTGTAGCTCGATATGCATGCGTGGAAAAGAATGATGTGTGTGATAGATGGGAATAGATAGGAGAACGAATAGATTATATGTGCGTGTATATAAAAGTGGAAGAGAATGGAGGAATAGGACACAGAAAAAGCTTTCTTTGTTCTTAGCATTCGTAGTTATGCAGCATTTAATGCAAATTATTCTTCAATATTTTGTTTCTTCATTACTTTGTAGTCGTGACTGCCTCACGATGTTTAGACGCATTGCTCCTGAAAATTTGCAACAATACTGCAAGCCATTGTCTTAGTTTTACCATTCCGATGTTTTTTTATTCATTTTATTTCGAAGGCTAGTACAGCTTGTTCCGCCGTTTCTTTTTATTGTTACTAACAATCTGCACGGCTTTATAGATACTCCAGACAGAGCGCAGTGCCAGACGACGTTTACGAAAACGTCGAGAGAATTTTTACGGTAATAAAGGATACGCGGGATTGGCGATCCTGAAAGTTGGCACAAAAATTCGCGATTGGACAATGTATGGCGATGCAATCCACGACAACAATCACGAAGCAATTTTTATCTAAATCATTCTCGTAAATTTTTGACAAATACAGCCCTTCCAACTAAATAGCCCCTTTCGAAACTTTTTGAACCCCCAGCACCGTCGTCCCTGCTTTGCGAACGTTCACCCCGACACTGCTAACCAGTGTGCGAATCTAATCTCGAACATGTGTAATGAGATTTCCATGTATTTGATCGCAATATTTCCTCGATTTTGCAGAAGAAACCCGACTGGTCGAAGAAGGGCGACGAAAAGAAGGTAAAGGAGGAAGAAGCGCCACCGACACCGGTGGAAGCATGAGACAATTGAAAATGCTCCCGCGAGAGACACGCAGGATCATCTGTCCGTCATCGTCAATAACCGCTCGATGCAGGAACTCCAATAAACTTCCTCTTATATTTTTTAACTATCGATTCATTAATTTAATATGTCTTACTGTTGTGAGTTGCACGCAAAAATCTTGCCCGTCTGTCTGTCCGTTATGATTGTTACATCCTAGATTGTATCAAAATCTATTGACATTCAATATCCGATAGTTCTATTCCCTATCAAACCTTTTTTATGGATGTGATGTATCTATTTTTTTTTTAAATAGACCTTGTAAATTACTGTAGACCTCTTGTTGCGTGCAAGATATATATTAAAAAAAGAATAAAATCTGTCTTTCTATAAACCGAATGAGAAAAGAAGGATCTAATTGTAAAGAGAATAACGGGGGGAAAATGTGTTACTTAAGGTTTATTGTAAAGCAAAATATTTAACAATATTCAAAACCTCTGTGTGTGATCATTTTCCTATGTTTTTTTTCATATTCCTTTCATATGCCATTTGCAAGAAATCTTGTCTTAACCTTTGACGATTTAACGTATAACAAAATTATATGCAATGTTTTTTTTATATACGATAAGATAATTGTTGTCATACCACCATGTGTTTACACATTTTTCAAATAGATAATGTAGTAGAAAAATTAACTAACTTTTGTTTTAGTGACATAATTATGAAAAAAAGTCTTTTATTTCAGCATAATTTTCTAAGAAAAATATTTTTTTAATTTTTAGCTAATTAAATATCTCTGATGCAATTTAAAGCAATAGTATAATATGGTTTAATTAAAAATGTTCAGTGTCTGGTATTTTCTTGCCAAATATTTTGTGTCTTGATAATTTTTAATTATAAAAAATATCAGAATATATTAATAGTATATCATGTTAGCAAAAAATTTGTGCTGAAATTTTTAATCGTTATTACAGCGTTGATCGATAAGAATAATGCCGAAAGCTCTTTAATTTGTAGAGAGAAGCTAATATCTAGAAATATACGGTAGGTATGCCACTAACCGGATTTCGCTTAATAACCTATTCGCTATTGAGTGACGCTTTCGACACAGCTTCATTACGTTCGCTATGATACACGCTCTTATGTGCTTTGACAATTTTAATCTACTTAATTGATTTACGAATCCGTTTATTTCTCTCCACTTTCGAGAAGTCCTTCTGTCGACTAGTATTCAAAATGAAATGTGTATCGGCGATAATTTCAATTGACAACTAGCTTTCAATTTAATATTTCAATATTTTATTCAATTAGATTACATTTATCTATTTTCTAGAAAAAAATCCGACAACTATTCTGTCTTTGCCTTCTTATTTCTATTCGACAATGAAAAATGTCACATTTGTCACATTTTTTATTGAGATATAAATTAAACTTCCAAAAATATTTTTTTTTATATTTATTGAACGCTTATAGTCATATCGCAGTTTCTTTCACGCGTGTTTATTATCGCGCCAATTTGCGTCTCGATAATGGACGTTGATGTATCCAATTAAACGGCACTTCCAACAAAGCTGCATTATATCAACTCGAAACAAATATTGAGCCTTTTTCATTCAATCGCGTGTTACATGCGATCAATTTTCAATCTCCATGTTTATTTCGCGATTCATCGATCGTTTTCCATACGCTGCTGGCGTAAATCTATCCCTCCGCTGCGGCCCCTGTTCGACACGCGTTCCACGCATTCGACCGTATTTATAATCGGATGTCGCGCACATTGTTTAATTATCTTGACAATATACGCGATCATAATGGCTGCGATGATTTATGGCGCAAAATGCCGTCAACGAGGCTCGGAGAAAGCGAGGGGCGCGTTACGTCGTAAGCTCATGGACATTGCATAAAGCATTATTATCGAGAACGGGACAAATGACGTATCTATAAACGGCGGTTTAATGCGAGTATATTTGCGAAACGTGCGCGCTGACCGTTAATCATACAATTTAATACATGTGTCGGCGACGGTTCGCGCAATTGTGTTTTACCTACGCGGAAGCACTTTTCGTGACAAATCCCATGACGAAACAAATCCATTTCTGTTGCCAATCGCGCATTAAACTCTAATAAAATATATTTGAAATGTCATTTTATTCATCTCTATGTTATTGTCTTTATTTACGAAAAATTTCAATAGTCGAAAAAAGTATAATCCTCCTCGATTTTTTGAAACACGTTTCCTTAATCTTTTCCTTTTATACATATTTCAATTTATCACAATATTATAAGTCTTTGCTGCCGGATAATAAATGCATTTTGCGTTAATGCGTGTTTTATGTATAGGAAGGCGAACAAGCTGAAGCTCCTGTGGCGGAACCACCGCCACCGGAACCGACACCGACGCCAGAACCAGCGCCAGCCCCGACTCCAGCTCCGGCCCCGCCAGCGGAACCTGTTCCTACGCCATCACCAGCGCCCTCACCGGCACCTCCAGCCGAAGGTGCTCCAGCAGCTCCTCCCGCAGAAGGTGTCCCACCGGCGGAAGGTGCTGCGCCAGCACCTGCTGGTAAATATAGCTTAAAACAATTTTTAATACACACGAGTGATTTCTCGCGAAATTTGCTTCTTTTTTTTGATAGAATTAAAATTTTAATAGGCAAAATCTTAAACTACATAATAAACTATAGAAGATATTCCAGATCAGTTTTTCTTAATTTTTTGAATAACTTTAATTAATTTTGATTAATTTCCCTTTAATCAATTTCTTTTCAAAATTTGATAGAATGCATGCGCAGTGTCTCTTCTTTTCATGATTTTTTAATTTTACATTTTTTAAACAAATACTGATCATTTAACATATTTATAGAAGGTGCGCCACCAGCAGCTCCAGCAGAGGGTGCTGCACCATCTGCGGAAGGTGTTGTACCACCGGCGGAAGGAGCTGTACTTCCGGCCGAAGGAGCTGCACTTCCGGCCGAAGGAACCGCACCTGTTGCTCCTGCGGAAGGAACAGCGCCGCCAGCGGAAGGTGCACCCGCTGAAGGAGCACCTCCAGCCGAAGGTTCTGCACCCGTTACTGCTCCTGCCGAGGGTGCACCTGTAGAGGGAACACCAGTAGAAGGTTAATTTTATCTTCTCTTTTCTTTTATATTAATAAAAATTTTAGTCTTATTATTTTCACCAAATTATGTTAAATTTTCAAAAAAATATAAAATAGATCTAAATTACATGTTGTATATTATATTAAATCTTTAGCTGCGAACATTGTATACTGATATATATTTTTTATAACAAAGGTAAAATTTTAAATTGAATAATCGATGTGTGAAGACTTTTCAATGTAAATTTATGATATCGTTATTTTATGCTGATTAATAATAAGTCAAGCCAATATTTTGCTAGTCAATGATATTAAAATAGCTTTTATCAATGCGATAGTTAAAATATTGATGTCGATCAATCATTGTCAATTTCAATCACGTTGGTTTTCGGTTTTCTAAATGTAAAAAAATGTGTCGTAAAAAGGGATCGTGATTGATCTGTTATATACTATAACAGAACTTTTAGCATCGTTCGTAATGTAAAAAAAAAAAAAACAATTGCGTAGGTGCAACACCAGCAATACCGGAAGGAACTCCTGCGGCTCCGCCAACGGAAGGAGCTCCCTCAGCCGAAGGAATTGCCCCTGCCGCAGCTCCAGCAGAAGGTGCACCAGTCGCACCCCCCGAAGGAGCCGCATCCGCCGCTGCGCCCGCAGACGCGACATCTGCAACTCCAGCGGAAACCGCACCGGCGCCCGCCGAAAGTACGTAAAATATTTTGTGTGCGTAATTTGATTGTTTTTGTTTTTCAGGTTACATAGCAAAACTTACTTTTTCGAAAATCTGACGTTTTAAATTTTTTCAAAAAGATTTGCAATTTGTTTTTTTATCGAGATGTTTTCATTTTTTGAAACTAAACACTTTACCACACGGTTTTGAGAAAATATAGGAACAATAGAATTTTTTGATTGCCAACTTTTGCTTGACAAAATTGGCTTCTATTAATTTTAAATTTTTTAACTTAATTTTTAGCTAATCTAGTTTTGATATTGCGAGTTACAATCCGCATCAGAGGCAATCCCGCGCTAAAGAGCGCGAAATACATCATGAATGGTATGTCAAAGCCAGCAAGTAAGAAAAGCAACGGACTAAAAAAAAAAAACATCGCATTCGACGAACTAAAAATTATCTAATCTAGTGTCACAGGCATGTTATGGGCGAACTAATTATTCAAACTAATCGCGTACCAGCCAGATCATCATCTGCTAGTGTCTATCGAAGGAAAATCGACGAGAGCTATTCTCCTCGACTATCATCGACTTATCATTAACTCTAGTTCATTATTTCGCACTCTGTTACCACGGTTGTTTCTCGTGTTAATCCCTTTTCTTTTCTCGTACAGCACCTGCATCGTAACTTGGGCGGAAAAGAGGGCAAAAAGCGAGAGAAAGAGAGAAAGAGAGAGAGAGAGAGAGAGCGAAGGATCACACACTTTGCCGCATATTTTCCTCTCGTTGACGTCAAACTTTGCGGAACATCTGCACGTTCAACAGTAACGAACGGATATGAGACCGCGGCCTATATGATATCGTGGCTCGCACTTTTCTTATCGTCATCATCATTATCATTATCATCGTCATCGTCAGCATCCTTATACCGTCATCTCTATCGCCGCCGTTGTCTCATCGCTCACGCCTTGCATATTCATCGCTCATGCATCACGAAAACTCGCACGTGCCGCACGAGATGCAAAGGAAACCAGAATAATACGAGTGCAAGAAAGAGAGAGAATGGGGGGGGGGAGGGGGGTCGCGTGTCTTGTAGCGCGATATGTCTTATGGTCGAGAACTCGACGCGCAGCTCATATTTTATTTGTCTCATATCCGTTATGAGAAACGAATCCGCACGTCATTAAAATGCCGGAAAGAGGACAGTCCTTATTTAACGAATGCTGCGATTATTTATTAATCGAGATTACGTCGAGTACACGTTTCGTCACGTTCGCTCGAGAGCATCCGATAACTTTTCTATCAAACAATCGTTAGGTATTAATCGCAACAACGGTACAATTAACCAACTGCGCCTCGGAATTTTCTGTAAATAATCCGCTGCGGCACGTCGCAGTTCTCTTTACACAGATCGATATCGAATCGACACATCTTCTGTACACGAGAAATTGGATTTCGTAATAAAAGCTTTTCTTCGATTACTGGTAACGCTTCTCTCGTTTAACAGATGTATCCGCTCTATACCCCTTATCCCACAGAATTTATCTCGTCCTCTATTTACGATTAGTCTTTTCTATCGCGTATAATTTATAAATGATCAAAAAATAATCGAGTGATTCGTTTAAAGCGTATAACGTTAATTTTGCATATAACTTTTTTAACATCGATATAAATTTCTCTCCCCTACGCGTTTTACGTTTAATAATAATAATTGTCTGTAAATGGTTTATTTGTACGATTTGTGTACAGATCTTATTATTTCTTAGATCGTAATTCATCGTTTATTGCCAATTGTGTGGGCGCAACAGATCCTTTTAGGCACTTGAAAACCATTTGTTTTATCGCCGGGCTACGCGTTTTGCCCTTTGTCGTGCTTTGTTTCACGGCATATACACGAAAGGGCACAATAGACGGTCCTTTATAATGGAGTCTAAATAGGGCTGTCTTAATATGCGTTCTGTCATACCGCAGAATCTCTTTGTTATTTGTATGACATTTCCCGTTCACGTACACGTACACGTATATAAGAAGAGTGATAAAATATATTTATAATTAATTAAATAATTATAAATATAATTAATTTTATAATAAAATACTAGCATTATGTATGTGTGTGTGTGTGTGTGTGTGTTAAAATGCATTTTAAAGAAATTGTATACATACAAATTAGAGTACATTAAAGCCGATTCTTCGTATAATAAAATGTTAATCAATATTTGAATTTGAAATTAGAAATACATATCTATCGTCAATTATTTGATCTTGATTGCAAATGATAATTCTCGCTCAATGAATGCACTTCGGTTAATTCCACCATCACACATCGATAATTGGCGTAAATGATATCCGTAACAATTTTGGCATGAAACAATAGCATAGTTTACATAAATCAAAATTGAAAATGTAACAACAACGCGAAGGTATCTGATAATAATCATAATTTTACACGTGCGCGTCATTACTGAACCGTATAAAATAGATAGGAGATCATTACGAATGGGTTTAATCGCAGTTGAAATATTCAAGGCTCAATATACGCTTTCGCGTTGAAAGCGAAAAACAAAGAGGCATTTCATACAATTATAACAGTTTCTCTCGCGAAATGATAATTGCGTCCATAAAGCAGCAAATTACATACCTCGGGTGTGTTTATTGTATGAAGGCAGGGGATCAGAAATAATCGTGTGAAGCCAGAAGATTGACAGGTACGGTAAGGTCTATATCTATGAATATCTAACGCGGATTGGGCAGGGTTAATGTCAATTGTCTCACACATTTTCAGTATCGATACGATATACTGTATCTAATATGTATACATATAATAGATGTGTAATACGATACTGTTTTTCGACACTCCCGGTATTTTTTTACGACATTCCCGACATTTTTCTCGTCATTCCCAATACATTTTTTCGACACTCTCGACATTTTCTTTCGGTATTCTCAGTACTGCTTACTTACAGATGATATTTATTGTCAGAGCATTAATCACGATTGATTCCGTTTCTTCGATTATTTCACAATTATGATTATATATA